TAAATAAATAAATAAATAAATAAATAAATAAATAAATAAATAAATAAATAAATAAATAAATAAATAAATTAGCACTACCTCGCCAGTCTGCAGAGCCGTTTTTGGAAATTAACTCTGAAAAAGAAAACATTCTATTCCTCATCAATCACTTTATTAATTGGGAGATTGAAGCTTCTGGATAATCAGTTTTCAGGTGAGATAATCTCACTCATGGCTGGAAATTTTCGCAAGTATTCGAATATGTCCACAATTTTTGTGAATACGAAAACAAGCGTAATACCGACTCATACATAACAGTGGTTCGAGACAATATTAATCCCACAGCTCAATTTCTGGAACAGGTATTGACACCCATGTTGCTTTTCAGTGAGCTGGAGCGCTTTCGAGTTGACGATGAGTGCGAGCGATGTAATCCTGACATCTACTTTACCAATCATTCCCCAGCGAGAGTGTCGGTGAGTTTCTATCATTGAAATCAAAATTAAAATCAACGAGTTGTTTTTGAAAACTTTGTAGGCTCGAATGGTCAGCTGTATCAGGGGGTTCCATTGCCATCACCGACAAACAGCTTTGCGCTGGTTCAAAGTTACACGGAACCGCCCCGGTAAGGCAAGCTCACATGTTCAGACAATCGCATACTCTGCTCTTCCTAACACGAGTATGGGGAGGCAGCAGTAGAACAACGAATTATCGAAGTCGAATTTACTTTGATTTTCTAATTAATTTTCATCCAATAACGAATAGCAGTTTAGTATGAATGAATTTCGTGAATATTTCATACCTTTGCAGAACTGAACGAATTCTAAATGAACCGTGTTCCTCATGCATACTTTTCTGCGATTTCAGGGAGACAGTGGAGGTCCGCTACTTGCTAAAGATCTTTTTGGCAGACTTGTTCAAATCGGAATCACATCTTTTGGAGCTGGAGGAACCTCAGGTCTTCTCGATCAGAACACCTATCCCGGTCAGCTGAAATTTCAGCTAAAAAGAAAATGCTTCCAATGTAAATTTGGTAACTCGCATTTCAGCCTTACCATAAGATTTACGGCCTTTTTGCCCATAAGAAGCATTTGTAACAAATTCCGGCACTATTTACCCTTTACTGCCCCACTCTGACGAGAAAGGGCTGGATTTCTATCGAATTTTTTCAAAGAAGATGAAACCGGCTAGAAACTTGCCTAGAGAGGTAATTTGACCCGTAAAACACGAATATCGCATCATGAAAACGCCTGCGATACTAGTTAGGGGCAAGTTTTCAGTAGGATATCTAACCCAGCGATTTGGCGCAGGCGCCCGTAGCGCAAGCGCTAGGCATCTTTATGACAAATGGATGCAATATTCGTGTTCTACGAGTCAAATTACCCCTGTAGGCACGTTTCTAGCCGGTTTCATCTTTTTTGAAAAAATTCGGTAGAAATCCAGCCCATTCTCAACAAGGTGGGGCGGTAAAGGATAAATAGTGCCCAAATTCCTCTTCCAATATATGCCCGAAAATGTAATAAGCAATTCAGTAGTAGACACTTCCATGACTTTTAAATATAGATACAAACAAAATAGAAGAAACTAGAAAAAAAAGTATTACAAAATGGTAAGAAAAGCAACAAAAAACATCTCTGTCATTGCAAAATAGGCTAGATCAGATGAGAGTAAGAAAAAGGGAATCTTAACGAACTTATCAAGAGTCGGAAAAGGGTAGTGACGATTCCAATGTTAATATTTCACAAACCCACCGCATAAGCACTGAAGGATTTTTGATTTACTAACAATCAAGCCAACAAAAAAAATTCAGGTGTCTACACACGTGTCTCCCCTTACATCACTTGGATGGAACGCACAACAAATTATGGAAACACGCCAGTCTACCTGATCGTTTCAATTTCCATAAAATCTCTCATGTGGTGAAGTAAATTTGAGAAAATAATATTTATTGATTCTTATGAATACCAAGTTTTTATGATACCCGAGGTATGAAATGGTAACGCCGCCGACGTCACCATGCGATATATCTGAAATTAATGTTTTGTCAGAGTAAATTGGACCATGAACCATATCAATAAGGTCAGGAGGTGAGTCGTTTAGTCTCTCATGTTCGCAGATATAGTCCGCTAAAGATGGTGAGGCATTCTAAATGGCCATCAAGTGACAACTATTTCTACTTAGGTCAGTGATCAAAAGCAATCTTAATTTACATGTACTGGATATAGTTCTAATAAGCCATGAAGAACTACAATTCGTAAACACTAATTAAGAAATACTCCTACGTCAGGTAGTATTAAAAATTACATAAATATTTTGGTTCGTTTCGCCTCTTAGTCATACGAACCAAAATCTGTCATCACCCGAGGCTCGTCAAGCTGCTGGGGTTAGAATTCTAACTGATTGTGACGCATTCCTACTAGGAATATTTTAAGTTGTTATAAAAAAACACATCAGCACAGTTAAAACGATGAACTGCGCAAACAAAACACCAACCTCTGCGATTCACCTCTGGAAAGGTGGTCAGCCAATAGTTTCTTTTCTTCTCGATGCATTTGTACGCAAGTATGTAGCTTAGGTGGATGTTTGTGAGCCGCTCGTGAAAGGTCAATTCGACCAAATTTTAACGAGGAAACCTCTTTGGAAAAGTTGCCGACGTTTTGTGAGTGACACCAGTAAACGTCCTCTTCGAATGCTGCTGAAAGAAACTTATCGATTCCACCAGTGAAAGAAATAGTGAGCAAAGCTGAGGAAGTAAAAACGAACGAGCGGAATCTGTCTGGATTAGGTCTACAATAGCGAACGAAATAACTAGGTTACGATCTAAAATGTAACTCAGTTCAATGTCATCATCATCCAGGCCAAATGGTCTCATTAAATCTTGGCCGACCTGCAAATGTATATAGGTAGACGAATGCCAACATCCATATGTATTCAATGCAGACAGTATTGAATGTGACCAATCTGAGATATAAATTGGTATGGGGCATTATGATAAGCTCTCTTTACCTTATACCATCCAACATAAAAGAGGAATTGAACGACTGTGAATAGTGGGAACACAGTATCGAAACCATTTTCAGAATCGAGATGTTGTCGTCCAAAAAGGCAGAACACGAAAAATGAGTAGGTAGCTAGCGAGGCGACCTGCAAATTAGTCTTGAACTCATTATAATGATAAATGACCCTCAAGGTTGCTGGCTCTAAATAAACGCATGGTTTATCGAACACCACACGCTTGATGAGGAATGATTCTTTTATTTCTAGCGACCTTTAGTTTTAGAAGCATTCGCTAGTTGATTATTGATCAATTATTGAGCTTATGTGATTCGAATAGAAGGATGAATACTTATTATAGATGTGATTCAGGCAGGTGATATTTCTCACAGTGATGATAAATAGGGATTCCTCGATATTTCGTACTATGGAAAACAGAGTTACAGTGACAATTTTGAGGCCAGATCTGCTCGCTTTCCCGTAGTACCAAGTAGTATTTACAACCGATATAATACAAAGATCGACTGGCACCTGTGTGTAGACGAGGGGCACACACACCCAATCATGGCAGAAAAGTTTGCGAAACGATGTGCGGTACTGCTTTAATTCGTTGGCGAACACAGTCACATAATTAGGAGAAGCTCGTCCGGATTCTACCTAAATTGCTTGAATCCAGGTGATGTAAATAATGGATAGTTGATGTCGACCTTGATTTGACCACAACTATGGTACACGCCTACGCATATGCACGAGTCACAGCTGCTCTTCTCTTGAACTAAAGATCCTCCACATGATCTAATGAAAATTTCAGGGGAATCAATCCGGGATTCGATCTCCGAACCATACTTATGATAATATTTGGCAAAGTACAGGCACCCCTCCTCTGTATTGTGGCCATAATAGAGCCATATGCAACGTAAGGAGCAGAACACAGATTTACATAAACGCAATATTCTAAATGAGACCTCATATCTCATATATTGAAAAATTCCGTGGATAACTACCTCAGCTGTGATCAACTGCTGTACCCAAAGAAGCGGAGCAATCCATCGTACGCCTGGCGATGAAGACTAAACGGAAATCTGACAGACACGATCGAACACGACTTTTATTATTAATGGTTCGTTCAAGTTTCCGAGTTAATCCTATACAACGAGGTGGTATTTTGAATGATACCTAGAATACACTTCAAAACCCTGTAGGGAAAATGTATGTGATTATATACAAGGACCTGGGCGTTTTCATAACTGCAGCTTCCTGACCGAGATATTTCAACGCATACGACATAGCGACAACAGGGGGGGGGGGGGGCAACTTTTATAGCGGATAAAAGGAGGTGATAAGAAGGATGAAGCCTTGAAAAGCCTGGCAGGCTTCCACATTCAAATATGTAGGGAAACATTCGAAATTAGTGACTTCAATGAGGGTTTCTGTATTGTATAAAACACGAATGCGGGGCTCGCTAGCGCTTTGGTGTACTACGTGTCGATCTGCCGCTATATCGGCATGTCAGTCTGTCTTTTTGGCCATAAAGTGCCCATGTGAGCGTGAGCAGGAACACTGTGATATCCAAGATCCAGCATACAATTATGAAGAAACACATAAGGTATCGATACAAAGATTTGTCGTGGCGGTGATAACCCCATCTCATGTTGACTACAAGATAATGTAAACGCAGAAAGTGATTTCGCGTACCCCCCTATGGCCGCTAGTACAATGTAGCACTAATTCTCCAATGCAGTTAGTTTGCTCAGCGGATTTTCCATATTCGGGTTATAAAGGGTAACAAATTAAGGCAAATTCGAGTTACAAACAAATTAATAAATTGAAGGCACTGATCGACGCTCTTCCAGAAGTGGATGATGAAGCTCACCTGATCTTTGTGAGAAAAAGAAAACCTTATCAAGCTGAGATATATGAATATATGCACACAAAGTACTACAAGTCTAAGCCACAAAACAGAAACAGTCGTATTCACCTCCATTTCCTCCAGCCGTAAAAACTCACACTCAGTCAAGAGGCCAGCGTCGACCAGATGGCGAATAGTTGGGAAACGTAAACGAATTTTATCGGAAACATCCCGCCTGAAACAAAAAATACATCGAAAGCTTGGATACACAAAGTGTGCACAACAAAGAACCATGCAATAGCGGCAGCCAGGTTAACATAACGAGCAATCTGATGTCGCCGCTTTCGTGACTCTTCTGTGTTGTCATGAATAATCAAACAAATAATTGAGAGAAGGTCCTCTGGCCAATTAAGACATTCGAATTGACTCCACCATCTGAAAAGCCTGAAGTTATGAATATGTAGGTGGCAAGCACACTAGGAAGAAATATACCTGGAAACAATGCTTGTAACATAAAAGCCGAGAAGAAATGTGAGCGGAATGAGATGAGTGTATTCGTTGAATTCTTTACAAAGCAAATTGAACTTATTTCTAAAATAAAAGAATGAGGTTGCCGACAGCAAAGATTATAAGTGCAACAACTGCTAACACTAGTCCTGTCTTCTACCTTTAGACACTTCCATCAATATTTTTTTTAACTTATCGGAGACGTGATTACAAGTCACATGAGGTTAATGCAATATAATCCACAAGCCTATGACAAAACAGAAAACTCAATGAAAAAGAAGTGCAGGCGGTGTGCCAGTTTCAACCCGAAAAGGAGAGCCTGGCGTCAGCCGTGCGATCCGACTGATTGAGGTTATGACGCAATTAAGACTTCCAATAGTTCACACTTACTTAAAATCCGTTTCCTCGCCAGGATCGATAATTGGGATAGCATAATTGTGGAAGAGTCGTACCGCGTAGAATAGTGCCAGGAAGACCAACAGTTCGACCCACACTGATCTCCAAATAGAGCCTTTCCATCGGAATAGAAGGCGAACGAAGTTACCCGAGTAGGATACCGTCATACAGCTCTATATGATGAGTATGAATCAGTACAACTACAAAACAACATTCGATTCAAATTGCCAGAAAAAACTGTGGGTTGTGCCTTCAGAACGATTAAATCGTTTTGAAGTAGCTCCAAAAAGAGACAAAATAAAGAGATTCAGTTGCAAAATATTATAGTTTAGATTACATCAAGTTGAGTGACTTGTCGAAAAAGAAATTAATCTTATACGCATTAAATACATGAACGCAATTACAAAAGTGTTACGTTCACTGTTTACTGAGTTTGTGCGGGTGGAATCTTCCGTAGGCAAACACTTGAGATTTGATCACAAGCAACTCCTCAACTTGACAAACATAATTTACAAGAAAGAAATAAGTCGAATATTAGAAGAACATAGATAGATACGGAGAACGTATCTATCTATGTTCTTCTGATACCTGACGTTATTATCCGTATAAGACGCAGATATACTTTATATTTAGTTATTTGTGTACTAAACTTCGTAAACCTTCTCATCATTTTGTATATTTCCTAATAAGCTGTCCGTTGTCAGCCGTACAAATAGCGTCAGAAGTCGGAAAGAGGAATGTATTTTCATCTACTATGCCAGTACAGTGTGCTAGTGATCCACTATGCGTCGAGAATAGGCGCTTTCACCATGGAAAGTTTGCCAAAGAAGCTGCTGAGTTGATAAGCTGCTCCTTCCGAGAAGCGCAACGTCGGAAATGCCGTCTTGGTGATGGGTAACGTTCAACGTTTGATTTCACAAACTTAAGGAAATGGGTACCCATCCACTTTTCAAGTGAGGCTTTTGAGTTNTTCGAGTGTTATAATGGAATAAAAAGAATTAAATGAGTTCAAATGAATAGCTATACATATCCTATATGTGAAAATGCCAAAGTTTTCGAATGAAATGCAACATTTACGAAACTGAAAAATTCACGAAATGAGGTTCACAAATACGAAACTGACAGCAGATCTACAAAATAGAATGGGAAAACTACGAAAATGGTTACAATATATACTAGTCGAATGCAACGTTTATGAATGAAATGGAGAACCCTGTGATAGCGCCGACATCAAAATAAATAACGTCAAATATAGAAGAAACGAAAGGATTTCATGAGAAGCAGAGTCATTCCTACTAGATCTGCTAAACAGAAAATGTAAAATCTGTAATCGGTTATAAATAGAAAAGGATATTGGCGAAACGCTCATTTTCAGTGCTTAAAAGAAAACAGAAACATTAACCAACCTACAGAGTATCGATAAAGATCCTACGTTGATGTCGGTAGCATGAATGCAACCAATTAGGGTATCAATCCAGATCATTGGGTTAACCACCAGCACAGCTGTCACACAGAAATTCTGCTCGAATATTCTCACCTGCTACATTATTCTGTCTCTATTCTCCACAGGATCGAAGATTCAATCAACAAACAATCCATGTCCTTGCCAAATGCCCCTTTCCGATGCGTCGTATATATGAGAACTCGCGGGGAGGGGGGGGNGGGGGGGGGGGGGGGGGGGGGGGGGGGGGGGGGGGGGGGTGTTCAGAATGGGGTTATCTCGTGCTGGCATAGTGTAGGGTCCAGTGTCGCGGTCAATTTTCGTTTCTGTCCATTCTCCTAAACTCAAATGCTTGTTTCTTTCATTGCAACCTTAAAAATTAACAATAAGTCCATTTTGTACGTCCTAAAAAGTATTAGATTTGGCATGAAAAAGGGCACCAATCCTGGAGCACATTATGAAGACAAAAAGTTAGTGGTTGCTGCTTTATGGAATGAAACACGACCAAAGAGCATAACATTCTGCACAAGATATACATTGAAAATCCGAACAACAACAACAACGAAAACAATACCGAGAGAATCAGATGACTTGCAAATAGGTTTTCTCCTCATAACAAAACAAAATCATCTAGTCAGTAATGCTAGAAACATTTGAGTTGGAAAGTCCGGCGAAAATATAAAGTATAGATCGAGCGTTAGCGTTGCTCCCTTCGTTGCCGACGGATATGAGGATTCACAGCAGTCGAGCTACTAGTTGGATGATCCTCCCGCAGGTCTTCGCTAGAAAAGTATTGATCAACAGTCGTTCGTTAATAACTAAATCTACTCAATACTCACTGGAGAAGATAGTCATTTCCGTTAGCAGCGCCACTCTCATCACTCTGTCGAGAATTCATTTCCTCGTCGTTTTGCTCTCCATTACTTTGTTCAACGGCGTCTACAAGCAAAAAAAGTGCATTAGAGTTTGTAATCCGCTTTATTGTAATCAACGAAAGCATAAGTGAAAAGTAATACTCAAGAGGGTCTCACAAATAAAGAGAGGAGACCAACCCTCAGCTGGGTCATTCGGATTAGACGCCGTTTCCCAACCACTGCCATCGCTTTCACTGTTGCTTGAGCTCTCCGAACCGGCTTCGAGCTAAAACGCAGAAAGATCATTGAGACATCGACGCAAGGGTATGCAGATGGTTTGCAACTTATAAAGAAAGAGAAGGGTCTCCCTCCACTTTATAAATCAAATCAATAAACCCTTCCAATCGCTTCGAATACGCCCGTCTCATCATCATCATCATCGTCATCATCATCATCATCATCGCTGTCATCTTCATCCTCTTCTCCGTCGTCCATTTCATCTCCCAAAGAGTCGCTATCATGACCACTATCCGATCCCTCTTCATCTTCAACCTCATCAATGTCATCATCTTCAGCATCTCGTCGCTTGCCAACCTATAACTTGATGTTAAGAGCATTCTGAAAGTCTAACAAAGCCGTCTTGTCATGAGAAAAAAAAACTGACTTCGTAAGCTCGTACTATTGTCTTCTCATTGCTAAGCATATACTCTACTTCTCCTTCACTCATGCGCTCTACCACAGCAACGTAATGATCGGAGTGATCACACGAGATATCTAGCAGAGGTCGTTTTGTATCTACTGTAGCAATCACCTTAAGAATCAGCAATCATTCGAAGAAATAAATTTAACGGATATCGGTAGCGTACTACTATTAGAAGCGGATGTACTTTGATTGCAATAAGCACTACGAAACAAAAAAGAAGGTAAGATGCTAGCAAGACCAACAGAGTAGTCGAAGGTGTCAAAAGTTCGGAATGATGCGCAATACGTGTTCCGGAATACATCAGCACAATCGGAATACATAGCGGCATAAACAACTTTCTATAAATAGAACACTAGCTCCACAAATTTTGACCAATCTATGATTACATTGACCCACTCCTGTGCTGTTGAAAACAAGTTTACATTGCTCCAGTGCGGGAATCAGATGTAGTAAGCGGTATGTTCGAGTATCCCACTACAAAAAACTACGGTATAATAAAATCGGAGCTGCAACTGACAGCGGCGACAGACCTACCACTTCGGTATTGATGATTATTTCGTTCCCCTGTGGATGAAACACACTGCAACCTGTTGTGTTAAGCTGGTCGAATGTGTGAACAACCTCAATATAAAATCTATGAGAAGGTGTTCGCTATTCTATACGAAGGTGCAGGTAGTTGACTTACCGGACCACGAACATCGTAAAGCACTCCGTCGTTCAGGACCATCGTGTCGCATGGGGAAAATGATGCACGATTATGGCTGTACCCGGTTGGACAGGAATCACGGCGAAACTTCCACAACACACGACCCGTTTCGGTATCATACATCTGAGTTTCTAACTTGAAATGGCGCAGAGTATCTTTGCTCTTTTACCAAACAGTAACATGTTTGAAAAGCCTATAGAAAAGAAGTAGAGGAAGTTTTAATGTGAAAGCTTACCGTTCCGACAACATCACTTGTTCCAATTATTTTCTCACTTGAAAGATTTGAAAATTGTACAAAGTATTCATCAGGTATACCCAAAGCATATTCTTGCTGATCTCCCAGTTTCCAAAGCGCAGATAGAGGTGTAATATAAGCCGACGATGTGAGCAGAAAATTGCCGTCCTGAAGCAATTCAGCAACTCATTCAAGCAGTATGATCATCCATGCCAATGGATGTAGTGAATCTATATAACAACGCACGTTACTGGGAACAATGGAAGTAATCCCACTTGAGTGACAAACTGTATGCGACTCTTCTGCTCCTGTTTCAATATTCAACCAATGCACTTCACCGGTGAAAGTACCAACAATTAAATGCTCATCATCGATCTGAAGCAGCCCCATATGCAAATTATATGTTAGTTGTTGCAAATCAATTTGAAGTAACAATCTTGGATTTCTCAAAACTTACAGAGAATGCACAGCTAGTATACATTTCTTCATGCTCCGTTATTGTTCTTGATGGGCGGAATCGACTGAACACATAGCTCTCATTCTTCGACTGCACGTTTGTCCTAAAATAATAATAAAAATAAGATATCCACTATAGAGGTGATTGAATGCAGAGTTCATTCTTCGACTGTACTTTTATACTAAAATAAGAGATTCACCGTAGCTACCAGTTTAACATCTCAGGAGCCCCGTCACTACTAACCATATGCAGAACACTAAGGAAGAAACTATGGAAAGTTTGTTGTGGTGTGCTAAATAGCAACTATGTAGTGGAATAGAGGACATCTTTCGCGATCACTCAACCTGACTTCACTGGGTTCTATTCTGTGGAGAGAAGAAAAGGCCTATAAAAGCAGTTCGTATATTATGTATGAACTCTAATATGCACTCTCACTCGGAACACTACTTTCCTCGTTCTGCACCACCTCTTCAAAAGCTGACAGGAACGTGTGCAACGTGCCATTGAGTTCAAAGAAATTACTTTGAAAATCTCTTAATCTGCTATTACTTTTATACAATAAACTATGAAGTACCTGATTAATTAACGACACTCTGGACAAATGGCCGAAGGTGTATATCTGTCTGACTGTGCCAGTACTGATATGAGGTATTAGTATGTGTATAAATGTGTGCATAGGTGCAAGTATGGGTGCGTGTTTGTGAACGCGTGAAAATATGTACAGTGAGCGCCATGAATACGGTAACAATTTCACGCGAAAACACCATTTCTTCTGGAAGGTTTTTCGAAAACTGCACTTTCTGTTATGCTTTTAATATGCCTGAGCTCACATATATACTTTGCTATTCTCAATTCGTTGATTCGATAAATACTGAAGCCTTGCCCTCATCCAGCAAACATTTCATCTTTGCGTGCATTTCATAAAATTTCCCCTAGATCGCTTGTTGTTTCGAAATTTCTCGCGAGACCGTCTACTGAATCGCGAAGCGTAAACATTTCAAGGACAAGCCGTGAACCAGTTAAGTTAATTAAATGAAACCCCATGTCCGTGGTGAATTTTCAAGAGTCGAACGTGTGGGTGCTAAAGTTATCATGGAATTGTTCATGGCAAAGGGAACCCCGCCATTTCAACTCGTGACTACATACTGAGCCCATATCGCATTCAATGCATTGCCGAAGAGACTCGTCTACGACCGAAACCGGTTAGTGGCATCGCAGCACGAAGGGCGTCAAACGCTCACGAGCTACATTCACGGACCCTTATGACCCCTAGTGGTCGTCGACGTCCCGGTCGATCGAGGGAGTCAGCATCTTAATCTCATTTCAAGGAACAAGAGGCGCAGTATTGCAAGGAGTCGATTTACGGTTTGTTAGCTGAGGATATATCAGCCACGTCGACTGAAGTAATCTCATTCTCTAAAGACTGACGCCGCCTAATGGAAAATACGACGGTCAAACTAAGCGTATATCTCTTCACACTTGACTCTATACAAAGGAGAGAGATGGATGCGTAGCAATATTGTCTACCCGCGCAATTGTTGGTTCAGCGGGATTCTCAGACGATCAAAAAAGATTAAACGTCGCCGTCATCCATTGCTAACACGATCTCTTTATTCTAGAAGATGTGGGTGTTCTTCACATCTTACACTACTACGGCACGATGGTTCGGTGGGCCCACGAACACCGCTCAATCATCGCCCCCTACCACCTTCTTGACATTTTCGAGTAAAACACCATAGTCAGGTGAGCAGCATTGATTCCCATTCAGTTACGCATCACCTTCACCTTCTTCTTCATTATATGCCAGAAATCCACGTCCAAAGACGAACTATTGTGAAGCAGGGAGGTGTGAGAGTCCATGAGAGTTAGAACTGATTCGAACAGTTGAACGAAGAACGAAAGTTGAATCATCACGACGAAGGCGCGTAACGCCGATGATTCTGGTAATTACAAGCGGCGGAAAGTGCATGTACGGAGAGAAAGGAGGCTACGATCGATCTCAACTATTACATTCGGCTTCACCGCCAGTATTGTTACTATGCACTTATATCTGTGGATTAATAATCGAGATTGGTGGTGACAATTATCACAGAATACGGCTATAGAGTTTTTTTTTAAATAACTCCATCGAACACGGAGTGTGACCTCTCTCAAGTGAAGCTCATCCCTTAGAACTGACAATGGTATTGAATAGCATCCACCCATGTACGCCTCTGTGCCGAAGACTATCAACTTCTCGTCCCCAATAAAGTCCTTGACGAGCCAGTCGTACCGCCATTGCTAGACAGCAAACTTTGGTAGATGTTCACAAGTGTGTGCAAAGGAGCCTCACTCAGCTCATGTGGAATCCATTTACTAAGCTTGTGTCATTTTCCATATCTCAGATTGAAATGCTTAGAGTCCAATGGAAGCGCTCACGTCTGCAACAAGTTCTCGGGTAGTAGTGTACTGATTGTTATGGAAAGCTCCGCGATCCGGTCAAAATTTATGGTCAGCGAGCGTCGCTAACAGAGTTGGCCTACAGGGCTATAGTTGCTCTTGTGAAACTCCTAAAACCGACGACAATTCCTCTCGTTTAGCCCGACCGTTCTTTCTGCGGCACAAATGTTACGAAAGGTTTCGCCGTTGAGTATTCTAGACCGAACTCGTAAAGAAGGCACAGTAGGGCATGATTCGAGGGAGACGGCATTGTTGTTTCGTAGAGACGAGTAGGGACGTTCAAATTCCGCGGTATGAAAGAAAGCTAAGGTTTCTCCATACCATTTCGGCAGGTACAACAGAAAAATGATTCGAAAATTTTGGCGTTATCATGAAAAGAGCGAAGTTACTCAGTACTCAACCTTATAGTATTTGAACAAATAAACCAAAAGAAACGATGTCTGAGAACAATCAAAACATACCACGTATTGTACGGTAATATGTCTCTAGTGGCAAAACGTGTAACAATATTCATGGGGACCGATCCAACATTACGCGGTTCAGGACAGCGATGAGGATAAAAAAGCGAAAATGGTGGACATGTCGTGACTGGGTGAGAGCACTTTGAGTGTTGCACCCTGAATAATTAGAAAATTGGCATCTCTCCTTAACACCAATGAAGAACAGGTTCTGAGTTCACCTGAAGTATTCAGTAACAATGTCATCTAGCCCTTTGTATGGACGAACTTCTTCTTTGCCGATTGCGGTCATTTTTGTGTTCGACGACGTTGAAGTTCGAAGTTGTAAACGTTGGGGAAATGCTACAGATCCTACAATTACATCGGCACAGGAACAAATTAAAAATCATTATAAAAAGCTTGAATATAAAAACATGGAGAACAAACTAGGTTTCCGAATTCGGCCAGGAGACGGTTCTAGAAATCCACGTTCTCGGTGTGAAGACGGCAACGCAACATTTCCCATTCGCTTTTGGAATGAATTAATCGGAGTGGTAGCCTCAGTAGTTATCCCACTAGTTGTTAAGCCTGATGCTCCCGGCAAAACCAAAGAGCGAGGTTGAGAAGAAGGTAATGCAAGAGACCGTGTTCTTGGCTAAACCTTCATGTATTATGAGAATCATCAGCACAAATTTACAAAATCGCAAATTTAGGCTGCCTCTGACTCAATCACTTACCAGTGGTAATAACCTGGCTGGCGTTGTGGCAGCCTTACTTGCTGGAACCTGAGGTAATTCCGCTTCGGCAACGAGCTGTTCTGCCGTTGAGTGAAGGCCCTTCCGGACAAGGTGGTCATGTATCAACTGCAGCAGCTCCTTTTCGTTGTAGGATACACGAGTATTTGCTATTACATGAGATTTCCACAAACGCTCCTGTAAAAATAGCAACATAAAAGAACACTAGAGTGGAACTAAAAGCAAGGAGTCAAATGTTCCTACGCTCAAACAAACAGAAGTGAAAATAATTCAGGCCAAATACATAATAGCATACAGTAGCGCTCAAAAGTCTTTAGCCAGACGCTTTAACGCTTTTTCGTTTACAGCTTTTTTTTAATGGGGTGAATCGTGCGAATTTCTGATATGTTTAACTGAAGCACATTTCACACTATCCAACACTAGTTGACCGCAAAGCAGCAGCACCCACATAACTACGAGCGAGGTGTTGTTGCTGTAGGAGACCTCGCTAAAAGCAAAGTTAGTGGCGTCTGCAGCTATTCGCATCTTATCTGCGTTTTTCTCTTCTACTGTGTTCGGCATTAGCGCTCGTACACTTTAGACATGACNNNGGGGGGGGGGGGGAAATCCTTGTACGACAATTATCCATATTTCCAGCTGATTTTGAGTTCAGTCTCTTTGGGATGACCAGATTGGAGGATAATAGTGGTAAGCATTCACAATACATCCATGCTACATGTATTGAAATTTTGCATGATTACATCAAGTAGGAAAGGAGTTACGAATGAAAAGTACAGCTGAAGAAGCATTTGGCCGAAGACTGTTGTCCTCGGGCATAAGCCCTTCTTCAAGTCCACTGGATTATATGCACATTTATAGTTACAACAACAGAGACCATCAAATATCAGCTCAATAAGAACAAGGGTTACCCGCAAGACAGCTGAACAGCCGGGTTTGAGGTGGTACGGGACATAACAATTGGTTCCGTAGATAACCTGCAGCGTGATGGTCTTAGCAACACAGAAACCACCTACTTCCGAAAAAATGGTGAATACCGTTCTCCCAAGCCAACTAATAGCGCCATAAACCGTCTATCGAGAACGTACATTTCTAGCAAACTGCATTTGGCAACCATTTACATTCGTTTATCCATATATTAACCGAGACAATCTGAAAAATCAAGAAAGGACCTGGAAGTCATTTATTTTCTTGTTTACCCCTCACCATTGTGGAATACCTCTACTCCACTGAAGATGAAATGAGAGTTTCTATGCACTTCGATCATTTATCCGCATCCGTCGAAGTAGGCATCTGATTGCATACCAATCAACGAACACGCCGGCCAATATATTGTCTAGTGAAATTTTACGCAAAAATCATGTTAAGCAGGTCCAAATTAACAACTTTCGCGCGAACCCCGCCCCCAGCAGGCGGATTCTATACATATAACCTTCCATTAGTTTCCCCATCTTGCCGCCTGCATCTCTGCCAAATTTTAACGCCTCAGGTCCAAAGTGGCGGTTTTCGCGCAAGCTCCCTCCTTAGTGAGCGTAGTCTACACCTGTCATCTGCCATTACCTTCCCCATCTTACCGCCTACATCTCTGCCAAATTTGGATGCTCCAGGTCCAAATTAACCACTTATTTGGAAGCCCCGGAGCATACACCTGCCACCTGCCATTAATTTTCCTACCTTGAGTCATGTGTACCCAAGGAGTCCGGCTCATTCCGCACTTGCTCCGACCTGTCTGAGCTGTTCCAGTTGATTTAAAAGCGGCGCCATATAAGATCTAGTTAGACAAGCAGAAAAACAGACGGAAATTTGTAGATTAAATATAGTAAGGATATCTAGTGTTTGATGGATATGTGAAGACATCGTGTTTGCCTCAATATCCTTTTGCCTTGATGCATGACGAAGGCCCGATTCTTTACTACTGAACGTACATTAACCCGAGACCAATTAGTATACCAAATCTCACCCCCTACCCGGCTGTTCAACTCTCTTGTGGGTGAACGTTGTTCTTATTGAGCTGTTATGGTCTATGCTGTTGTACCTATAAATGTGCTGGTACTATAACACTGGTACTATTCAGTGGAACTGAAGAAGGGCTTACGCCCGAAACGTTGTCAACCTATTAAAATTAAGACAAAGACAAGAGCTTCACATATCAAATAGACACAAAACGATCGAAGTAATGAAGCTCAGGATAGCAACTATTTCACGTAATTCGCCCAGCTAACGCCGGGCTCTCCTCCTTCTTATGTAATGCTCGGCTACGCCGGGCATCCCCCTTCTTGTGTCAAAGTCGGAAAGCCCTTTTATATTCGCGCCCACCACTTCAGTACAATTGCTCCAACGTGAATGATCACAACATTTACTTTTGAAATGGATTCATGCGACACTATTTCTCGAACTTCGTCAGAGCGGTTATAAAACAATTCTGGAAAACACTGTCTCATCTTGAGTTCGTCATTCTAGGATGTGCGTGCTTGGTTAAAGAATGATAGAGAAAGAAGAGCATACATATCAAAGGCTTTCAACGCTAATCAGAATCTTATTGGTATTAATAAAAAAAATAATTTACTTGCATGCCAATTTCTTCAGAAGTGATTAGAGAGTCGTTCTAGAAAGCACTGTCCGATCTGAAGAGATCGGACAGTGCTCTCTAGAATGATCTAAGCACTCCTTCTAACATTATAGAACGTTTTCAAATAGATTTATGAGCTTTCTCAAAAAGAACCTAACATTAACCCATGCTCCCTATCGCGGGCGGAGCTTTGCTATGCACGCGTGCCCACCATCATAAGGCCCTGCTCACTCCTTTTATTTTTTCCAGCCTCCACGCCCTCTTTGAATGGAGTTATGAACCTGTGGGGAGACTGCCGCCCACTGCTTCTCCTTCATTCTATTTGTAGACCTGTCCCTCTGCTTCCCCTATTTTTTCTCGGTGTCTGGGCTGTTAGGAACCTATTCAAGTTTTGCCCATGTCACCACCCACTCTTGTGCACCCCTGGAAGCGGACCTTCTCTGATCTCACATGTGCTCTTTTGGTTTTGCCCTATGCCCAACCCATCCCAAACTTGACCCGACTTATTTTAAGAAGCTTTGCCCATGACATCACCCAATCCTGTGCATGTCCCACCCCTGAAGTAGGAGCTTCGCCGAGCTCAAATGTGTTCTTTTGGTCTTGCCCGCTCCCCAACCCATCCCAAACTTGACCCCACTTAGGCAGGTGCTCCCTAAGGTAATATTAAATTTCTGTACAATTGAACGAACAAACAAACAGTTAGACGCAAGCGCTTCCCACATGATGATGAGCTGTCATACAGATTTCGCCAAGCAAATTTGGAAAAACTTCATCTGGCTACTGAAGTATCATGAAGTGGATATTTTTTTGGAGAGCGTAAGCGAAATTCACATTAAAAATTAGAAATTTCGATAAGATTAGATTTCTAGTGATTCCTATGGATTTGCGGTTATGGTTCTACGGAAAACTACGTGTCTATTCAACAGATTAAATGCAAAGGTACTTTCGGTAAAAATTCTTCGT